AATTGTTAACAGCACATACTGTTCTTGCAGAGAACTTGAGTTTGGTTCTCAGCAACTAAATCAGGTGGCTTACTACCAGCTGCCTATAACTCTAGATCCAGGGGATCTGATGCCCTCTTCTGTCCTCCACAAGTACCTGCACTCATGTATACACAGAGACATACACATATAATTAAAAACAAAATAAATACTTTTAAAGTTATATACTTGCCCTAGTTTTATTCTAAAATTATTATACTACATATTTGTAGTAAACATTTAGGAAAATATGTTGAGAAAGGAAGAAAGCCTTTCCCAGCTACTTGAATGTCATGATACTGTTCAAGAATGGTGTCCTGAGAACCCCTAATTTCACAAGGGTGCTGAAAGCCATGGAGAAGAGTCATCATCCATGGTACGATCTGGTTATAGGAGGTTCCCCACGGATTAGAGAAGGCTCCCCACTGCAGGGCCTCACTTAGGGAGACATCAAGGAGCAATACACTCTATACTCAGTGCAATAGTCTTTGGTTTTAGCATATAACTAGCAGGAGCATAACCCCCTTATGACAAGAGTCTGCTGATTCTTGGCAGAGGTTAGCTCTGTCTCCTAGGAGACATTTGATAATATCCAGAGACAAATTTATTTTCTTTTCTTTGAGACAGGATGTCTACAGCCCAGGCTTGCCTCAAACTCACTATGTGTATAAGGGTGATCTGAACACCTGATCTCCTGCCTCCACCTCCTGAGTACCAGGAGATTAGAAACATGTGCCACCATACGTGAATGGAAACCATTTCCCCCACAAACATGGTGGGGGAGGGGTGCTGCTGGCATCTACTGGGTGCAGAAAGCAGAAATGCTACCCAGTGTTCCAAAATGTACAGGGCAGTCTTGCCATAACAACAAGATCTCAAGCCACAAATGTCAGTTCTGAGGTTAAAAGTTCTAAGAGAGGTTTCCGTAACCCATTGATTCCATCCAAGTCTTTGTATCACAGTGGGTGCTGATTCGTCAGAATGAACCGAGTGTGGTAGTACATACCCATCAATCACAACAGGGAGACTGAGGTAGAAGGAGCAGAAGTTTGAGGCCAGCCTGGGTTACAGAGTAAGAGCCTGTCTCAAAAAACCAAAGTTTAAGAAACAAAACAAAACAAATCAAAACAGCAACAACCCCCACAAGAGGTGGGGAACTTTACTGGATGAGTAAGAGAAAGGATGCTACAAGTACAGCTCAAAGTCAACTGTACTAACTAGCAACTCTATGTGTTTACTTGTGTGTGGTACAAGTATGTACAGGTTCACAGGCACATACGTGGGCATGTGGAGGCCAGAGGTCAACCTTGGGTGTCCTTTCTCAGGAGCCATCTGTCTTGATTTCTTTGTTTGGACGGGGTCTCTCCCTGGAACCTGGAACTGAGCGGTTAGGTGAGGCAAAGCTTGGCACTTGGCGGCCCCGGAACCTGCCTGCCTCTGCCTCCCGGCAGGGCCGCTGCAAGTGCACGTCACCATGGCGAGCTTTTGACATGGGTGCTGGACATTGAACTCAGGTCCTCACAGTGATGTGGAAAGCACTTCACAACTGAGCCACCTCACCAGGATCGTAGAACAATACCTTATGCGACCTAAAAGTTGGTGTCACACTTCGTAACATGTACCCGAAAGGACCTCAGATTTAGGGCAGTTAGTGCTAATGTACTGTTAAAGGTGAAGCCCAAATTTTTTAGATTAGTTTTAGTGGAACAAACCAAATAAAATGGTGCTAAAGGCAAACATTCAATATATTTCATTTTTACCTAAAAAAAAAAAAAAAATTAGCCCGTGAAATGCCATGCACGCAGACACCATCCCTCCCTTAACCCTTTTTTTTTTTTACATATTTACAATTTTACATATTTACTTATTAACATTATTTTCTATCTTTACAATTACAAAATTATTTCACACTGGAAGAGTGTGGGAACATAGAACTCATTTCAACATAGACTTTGTAGCATTTGTTTTATCCTTTTAAAGGCAGTATTTGTCCAAAACCAACAATGTCTACCACAGAGGAAGCCCATGGAAAAATTAGGGAGGACATAAAAGATTGACACAGAATTCACACAAACCTACTTCACCAACTCAAATAAATATTGCATTATTATTTACTAAGCTTCCCCTGCTAAGAAAAAAAATAAAAAGAAAAAAAATAAACAATCCCTAAGCTGTACCTTAAAAATACTTTGAAACTTTAAGCAGTTAATTCATATTCCAGACCTGAACTGTGGAACACAGCAGCTCCCTGCAATCAGCCCCACATAAATACGGTGTCCAAGACATCAGCCTGCATACACCTGAGGCTGCAGCGGTGGGGGGAGCTTGTCATTCTCTACATTTTCAGAGTCGATGGCTGCTAATGGTTGGTTTGGGGGTTTAATCTCAAGTGGGTATTTCTCAACAATGTCTTGAACTTCCTTGGCAATTCCATCCGTCCAGTCTATTAAGTCTTTTTCAAGTTTCTTGGCTTCGTTCATGATCCTTTCCTGCCGTTCATTCAACTGAGACAAGAGGTCCAAGTTCTTATACATTTGCTTCACACCTAAGCAGGCCTCCGGGGACCAACTCTCAGACTCCTGCTTCCTCGGGGAAGTCTGGCCAGACATGTATCGGTCAAAATCCTCCTGACTTAAATTCAAAGACTGAGCATCTAATTTCTCAATGAAAGCCACAGCACAGCACTGCAGAGGAAAGAGAACAGTGTGGTAGTCAAGGCAGAAAGGCTGCAGGTAGATTCTTAAATCTTTCCTCATTTCCAGTTTTGAGGATTGAACCCAGGCCCTCAAGCACTGCACAAATGCTCTGCCACAAGCTATATCCCCAGCCCTTTCTTGTGTCTTTGAGACAACTGGCAGCCCAGGCTAGCCCTAAACTGTGTAGCCAAGAATGATCTCTAGTTACTGATGCCCTAGATCCTCGTACTTCTGCTTCCAGAGTCCTGAGATTACAGGCACGGGCACAGCTATGTAAACAGAGCTTTTGATCGACCCGCCGCATCCTTTCAGGCACTGTACTAACATAACCAGTTTTCTGAACATTTGATTTTCTCTTAGTTCCAGAATTTGTTCTAGTGGCTTCATAGCCCCACTACTTCCTTGTTCCTCAGCAGACTATGCCCTCTGCTCTCCATTCTGTCTTCCCCATCAACTCTCCCAGCTCTGCCTCTTGAGTTCCAGCTGTCCCCACCGATGAGCGTTCACAAGTCTGTGTTACCTGTCTTGAACTCACCCTGAGCTCTGGTTATTTATTACATATGAAACATTTACTAAAACCCAAACAGCTTCTACATCAGAAAAGAGCTAGTGAGTTTCCTTTCCCAACATCTCCTATTCAAGTCAATGGCAATGCTGAAATCAGCAGCCCTGGAATCAGCCGATTCCTCCTTGCAGCAGATCACATGCGACTGTAGAGCTGCTGATGCCAAGCAAGCAACAGGAGCCAGGCAACCTGCTCTCCTCGGATCTCAACTCCTCAAAGAGATGACGTGCTTTGAGGGACAGTGTACTCCTGCAGAAATGCAGGAAGGTGAAGTGTGCGCACACACCTCCACCCTTAGGAGGTCTAAGCTGTCACAGACGAACCTGTCACATCCCCTCCAGGGCCTCCTCCCTCCCTTCAAGAGTCACATCTTACCAGGTTGGTGAAGTAGTAGCCGTCCTCGCCTGTCATGAGGCGGCTGGGGTTACAGAAACGAGTGATGTACTGGATGTTGGACTGCAGGCGAGGGGGGTTACCCTTCAGGACGATGTAGATGAGGGTGGGCAGGAAGTCGTCGGCGGAGGCTGGCTCATTCTTGGTGATCTTGATGGCGTTGAAGATGTGCTTGCTGCACCTGGTAATGCAGGCTAACTTGTCCCGAGGCACACGCTTTGAGTCCATCTCGATGATGTCTGTGAAGAAGGACAATGCCACTGAGAGGCACTGGACACTGAGAAACGACTGGATTGGTTGGGTGCCGCACACCTCAAATCCCAGCACAGGATGCATAAGCAGAGGTATTTGATGAGCCCTTGTTTTTATCTTAAAGGTGGGGAGGGCAGCAATGGGCTAAATATTCTGAATCCTTTAGGATTCAGAGGTGTCCCCACTAATCTACCCATGCCCCCAGCAGTTAACTGAGTATAGGAGGAACTTAGATCCCCGAAACAATAAACACAAATTCCTATCCACAGACCACGAAGCGTGAACCAGGCAAGCCGGCTTTAGACCATCCATCTCCAACACAGGTCACTGAGTGTCAGAGGGGCTGCCTGACCACCTGAGGTCATGCAGAGAGCAGAGGCATGACACAGGTTTGCCCAAAAGCCCATGGGCAAGCATCCCTGGGCTCCATGGAAGAGGAAAGCAAGGCTTTAAAAAAGCGTTTGACTGTTTCTTGTTGTTTGCTTGCTTTTTTGTTTTTATTTTTGCAACTGGGGCTTATATTTATAGGCTAGGCAGGCCCCAAGTCCTTATGTAGCAAGAAAGACCTTGACCTCCCAAGTGCTGCGATGGTGGGTGTGCACCACCACATCCAGTTAACTAATGCAGTCCTGGATGGAACACAGGGCTTAGGAGGCTGAGCCCCATCCCCTGCCTCTTTTCAAAATCCATATCTCAAAATTCAGTGCAGAAAGTCTTCGCTGTGTATACTGCTTCTCAGGGATGTGACTACTGACAAGCCCTTCCTAGACATGAAAGCCAGAAGAGCTAACTTGAGTGGAGAAGAATAGTAGAGCCGTTGTCATTTCTGGCTGAATTTTACCTTAGTTTAGCTCAGTGATCAAATAATGACATTTTGGGCCAGCAAGATGGGTTGCTATGTAAAAGTACTTGCTGCTACACTGGACAGCCTGAGTCTGGGTCCTGTGGCACACACTGTGGAAGGAGAGTGCCGAGTCCTACAAGTTGTTTTTGTCCTCATACAGGAAGGGAGGAAGGGAGGGAGGGAGGGAGGGAGGGAGGGAAAAAGAAAGAGAGAGAGAGAAAGAAAGAAAGAAAGAAAGAAAGGAAGGAAGGAAGGAAGGAAGGAAGGAAGGAAGGAAGGAAGGAAGGAAGGAAGGAAGGAAGGAAGGAAGAAACAAACAAAGAAAAGTAGGCTACTTAAAAGTTTATCAAAACCATGGGGCTGACAGATAACTCAGCAGTTAAGAGAACTAGCTCTTCTTCCAGAGGTTCAATTCCCAGCATGCACATGGCAGCTTACAACTGTCTGTAACTCCAGGATCTGACATCTTACCATAGACATATATACAGGCAAAACACCAATGCACATAAAGCAAAAATAAATAAATAAATAAATAGTTTTTAAAAATATGACAAAAGTAGTTCAAGTAAAAAAGAGAAAATTTAGTGGGGCTGGTGGTGCACACCTTTAATCCTAGCACTGGGAGGCAGAGGCAGGCAGACCTCTATGAGTTTGAGGCCACTCTGGTCTACAGAGTGAGTTCTAGGTCAGCCAGGGCTACACAGAGAAACCCTCTCTTGAGAGAGGGATTGGGGAGAATGGGACAGAGGGAGAGATGGGGTGAGAGGGAGACAGAAGGGGAAAAGGAGTTTACTTGCTGTAGTGGGTAGCACCCCAACACTCAGGCTGTGAGTCTGAAGTCAGCCTGGTCTTCCATAGCAAGTTCCAGGCTAACTAGGGTTACAAAATGAGATCCTGTCGTAAATGAAGTAAGAAAGAAAGAGGGAGAGAAGGGAGGAGGGAAGGATGTATGGGTATTAAGGGCTTTCCGTGGGTTATACTGCAGCATCATGTTAACCTATGAAGATCATCAGATGTTAAGCTCTCAGCTCCACTGACCTGTGATCGCCTTCACCACCATGTCAGACACTTCAGGGATTTCCTCGTTGACAGGAACACAGAGCATCTGAGGTGTCACCCAGTGCAGAGCCCTGCAAGATAGGGATGGTCAGGAAGAGGCCCAAGAACACAGGGTAGATAACTCTACTCTTGTTGTTTCCTCCAATCAAAGGAAAACAGGGGTACCACTGACTTATGAGGCAACCCCAAGTTCAAGCACATGACTCCTGCCCATACAGGAGCTTAGCTGACACAAGGAAGCCCAGCCCTAAAACAGCACACTGCTTCTGTACCTATCACAGCAGAGGACAGAGTCTCCTGGCTCAAAGGAGATTCTGCAATAAAGGCTGAGAATTTGCGGCTTGCTGTCTTCACAGTCCACAGCTGGTCCTACCCTACACTGTTACACCCTGCCTTCAACGTCCAAAATACCCAAGAGCCCCTGAAGACCCTCAACCTGAGTCACTTCCTGGCTCACCCTGACTTTTCACTGGCCTCTGATGAATGCTTAATGCCTTCAACCTACCCCTCAGTCTAGCATCCATCTAACCTCTAGAACTTGGCCTTGGGCTCTATTTTGCATCTTCCCTGTGTCAACTCATTTCTGGTGCCACATTTCCATGTACTTATCTAATTACCAGTCCCTTTAATTACCAGCCCCTTTATCTAAGACCTCATGTGGGGTTCCTCAGCCAAGAACAAAGGGGCCTCAGGACACTTCCCATAACTCCGCCTTGGAACTGTTCTCACACTGGGGTGACTGATGCTTGATCTTCACTGTTAACCTGACTGAGTTAGAATCCCCTAGATGACACCTCTGGCCTCAGCTGTGAAGTCAGGTAGAGCAGATTAACTTAGAAGGTAAAAGCTACCCTAAATTTCAGTGGCGCCTTCCATGGGCTCAGGACTCAAGGTGAATAAAAGGGAGGAGAGGGCATGGTGGGCACACGTGTAATTCCAGCATTTGGGAGGTAGATGCAAGAAGACAAGCTAGCCTCTGCTACATGAAACTCTGTCTCAAAAGGCAAAGAAAAGATGGATAAGAGGTTAAGAGCACAGTCTATTCTTGTAGAGGACCTGGGTTCAGTTCTCAGTACCCACATGGAGGCTCACAACCATCTGTGACTCCAGATCCAGGGGACCCAATGCGTCCTCTGACCTCCAAGGGCTCCTGAACACACACGGTACACATACCATACACTCAAGCACATACATGTACACATGTATGGTTTGTAAAAGAGGAGGAGAGGAGAAGAGGCGTCCTGATCCACGGAGTCATAGAGAGCCCCGGCTGCCTGTTCCTGCCAGAGCCTGCCCTCCCCACCATGATGAACTATACTCTCTCCTGAACCATAGCTAAAAGAATTCCTTCTCTTTGACTGTTTCTGTCAAGCATTTTACCACAACAGTGAAAAAGTAACAAACAGAGGTGGCTTGTTCCTTAGTGTCCCACAGCTGCTGAACTCAGGGTCTGGGTTCACTCCACTGGTTCCCTAAGTCAGCAACTGTCACCAGTTCAGACTGGCAAAGACGAGCCTGCAGGGATGCCTGGAGACTGCAACCCAACAGGGTGGGTAGAAGGGAAGACGATACCCACTGCCTGAGACAGTCACACTTTCCCGCCTGATAAGACAACACAAGGAAGCAAGAAATGAAGTTCTCATGTTCCTTGAAACATGACCTAGAACGATCTCACATACCCAACAGTTGCTATCTCCAGCCAACTGGAGCGAGATAGAAAAGCAGGTTCCGTCAGCCCGGCTGAGGAGCCCACGAAAGCTCACACATGCTACTGCCTACATGCCATTGTTCCATTCTAGACAGCAGAGAAAGGACAGGCACGGTAGTTACCTGATCCTCTTCTGAATGGCGAGATCCTTCTTCTCATCATCAGTCGTCTCTGGGCAGAACACGAACTTATAAAGACGGGTCATTATGTGCTTTTCGATCTGATCCATTATCTTCTCCACTTTCTCTGGAGGCACTGGAATACACAAATGGGTAAAACAGCTCAAGAGAAGAATTTCAAATTAAGATTATGTTTTTATGGTATTTCACACACAGTAATAATACTAACAACAACAACAACAATAATATAAATTTGCTATAAATACATCCAGTAAAGAAACTACAAATATCACATAAAAAATCCCGTTTAAGAACCCAGTGCAGTGGTGGTGTAATCCCAGCACCAGCAGAGGCAGAGGCAGGTGGATCTCTGTGAGCTCGAGGCCAGCCTAGTCTATAAAGTGAGTCCAGGACAGCCAAGGCTACACAGGGAAACCTGATCTTGAAAAACAAACAAACAAACAAACAAACAAACAAATCCCTTTTAAAAATTCACAACTATTGGCTGAGTGGTGGTAGTGGCAATGCACAGGCCTGTAATCCCAGCACTCAGGGAGGCAGAGAAAGGTGGATCTCTGTGAGTTCGAGGCCAGCCTGCTCTACAAAGTGAGTCCAGAACAGCCAAGGCTACCAAGGCTACACAGAGAAACCCTGTCTCAAGACACAAACAAGCAACCAAACATTACACCTCTTCAGGCTGGGGACATGGCGCAATTAGTAGAGTGCTTACCCAGCATGCATGCTTACCCAGCATGCATATCCATTCCTGGCCCTGTCTAAACCAGGCATGGTGGTTGCAACTTTTCACACTACAGCGCTTACACAACTCCCACCTATTGCTTCAGCTGTTTCAGTGGAACCTAAGATATATGCCCTGCCAAAGGGGATGACTTCTTGTGGGTCCCTCTCTATTGCTACATTGGTAAAACACTTGGAATTCCCAAGGCTGCCAAGTGCTGGCAAATTCCCACAAAGCTACCACGTTCTCTCTGAAGCACACACATACACATCAAGCATATGCAAAATGCATCCTAAAATATAGTGTCAGTAGAAGGCTAGTCCCAGAGAATCTCTTCGAACCCAAAGCTCTAAGTTGCTGGGTCTCAACTTTTTCCTGCCTCCAACTCCCTTAGGATTATGTCATCATGAACAATGACTCACCAAAATGGCAGTTCCAACATGGGCAATTCATATAGAAAGCTTCCTGAGCACTTTTGATCTTCCTCACTTTACCCATAATATAGATATTACATCACTCAAAATGATACCCAACTGCCCTGGTCAGACATAGGGAGGCATTTTAAAGGCACTACAGGTATGAGGCAGCTTCCAGTGTTAGCTCAGTACTTTGGCAAGCTGGCATGAGCACCAGCCAGGCCAATCACAGAAGGAGGACAGCTAACGAGCTACAGCTGGCTACCCCGTCACAGCTGCCGGACAGCGCATTACCTTTCCCTCGGGTCTGCATTCTTTCAGCCACGTTCTGGTAAAAGTCCTGAGCACATTCTGACTGTTCCTCGATGCTTAAGTCCTGGAATCAACAGACAAGAGACTGGTGAAGAGCTGAAAAGTTTGAGAACACTAAATTTTAACAAGTTTCTAAAACACACCCCTTGCACTGAGCCAGTTCGAAAAGCAGTTACAAGTTACACATATTCTACAAGAAGGAAAAATCATGATCTCTGCATTTCACTGCATGTGCATACAATATGTGTACACTCCATTTATTGCATTTACATCATCATTCTCATCATTATTATTGTACTATTATTATTGTTGTTACTATTATTAATTTTTCATGACAGGGTCTTGCTGTGTAGGCCAGACTTTTTAGAATTTAATAGCTGTAACATAAGGTTTTTGATCTCTTTTGAGTTGATTTTTTTAATATTCACGTATCTGTTTATTTTACAGGTATGTGTGTGTGTGCCTTAGGGTATGTGTGTTTACAGAGGCCAGAATTGGGTGCTGCGTGGATCTCCTCAAACTGGAGCTACAGATAGATGGTTGTGAGCCACCATATGGGTATTAGGAATTGAACCTGTGTCCTCTGGAAGAGCAGCCAGTGCTCTTAACCACGAGCCCATTGCTTCATCCAATTTTGTTTTAAACTGGTACTGGAAATTGGTCTTAGGGTATCATGAATGCTACATAAGTGCTTTCCTGCCTAACCAAATCCCCACCCTATTTTAAGTTTTGTACAGGCATAAAGTAAGAATCCACATTCACTTTTTTGTGTTGTTTTGAGACAGGGTTTCTCTGTGTATATTCTTGGCTGTCCTAGACTCACTTTGGCCTCAAACTCAAAAATATCCGCCTGCCTCTGCCTCCCCCAGTGCTGGGATT